AAAAGTAATTTTTTACATAGATATAACGGTAGTCTTGGCCTCCGGTTAATGAATCATTTTTAAACCTATAAATTTCCAAACTTTCTATGTTGGAACTGCTGCAGTTGATGGTTTTTTATCAGTAGTGCTTCTTCGCAGGTCATGTTTTTAGTGTCCTTAGCAAAGGTATACACGAATATCGAGCCTGTGTTTTATATTTAAAGTCCTAAGCTAAAGCTTAAAGTCCACTGTGGGTGCAGGGCCGGTGTTAACAGCCAAGACTGTATTAACGACATAACCGAATTGTCGGTAAAAGGATCATACTTGGGCGGTGTGAATTAGTCTATATAATTGTGGTGTTTAGAATTTCATTAGGACTCTGATAGGGAGTTTACTTAGCTCATTGGTGAGGCGCTTAAAGTAAAGGAAGAGGGGAGAGACAACAAAATGTGTATTTCGAAATACCAGTTAATTTAATTTACTCACAGACTTAATGACGGATAGCTGAGTCTGTGACGGCTCTCTTTTTATATTACTTCGTGTTTTACCGACACGACTTAATTCCACCGCATGAAGCACTACAAAATTAGTTGTAGTTTAAAGTGCTCGCAGCAATAAATCCTCTCCCCAAAACTATTAATTAATGCAAATCTTGTAAAGCCTTTGATTAAGAAATAACACCCCTCGCCCACTTTCTTATCAAGTCATGTTAGTTATTATGAATAATCATGTTCAATATCCACTAAGAGTGGGAGATGGTCATCCAGAAGACGACACAAAACACTTGATGACCTACGTAAAGATCTTAAAATTCTCGAGGCACTATGATACGATTAGTTTGTTGAGGAGGATATTTCGTGACAATGGATTTCTTATTTGATGCTTGATGTGTGCGGTAAGTCGAAAGTGTATAAAACAGGTCAGACCGTTTTCTTTTTCACAGGCGCACTCCATTAGAGCGTCTGAATTGTTGAAACTACGGTTGTTTGCCGCGAAGTTGACGTGACCCGTACAGACTTCAATGAAATGTGGGGGTAGATGACTTGAAAGCCCAGACTTGGGGGGTTTTTTTCATAGTTAGCTCAGGTGGTTTGTGGTGGTGCATGAGCAGGTCTAGGTCAGGATAACACGATCGGTAGATTTCGTCCCACTAGTCGAGAAGCAAATTCTCACGCTAGACATCCATTTTTGGATTCAGAAATGCAGTGATGGTAGATGCTGGCCGAGTTTCCTGTTGGAATTTATAACGTCAGTTAGACCATTCTAAGGCTTTTGCCAGCAGCAGGCATGTATCCTGAAAACCTGAATCAGGTGTCGGATGGTTTATACACTACATCCGCTCTTAATACAGTGGCTGGCATTATAACACGTATCTCGATCCACACAAGTAATCGAGATGTGTGGAAGTGTAGGAAAATGCCATTTCTAACTTAGTATCAAGTGGGGAACTCAATTAGAATGAGACGTACCTTCTTAGTCATATCAGAGTAAGGGAGCTCAGTGTAACTTGTACACTGAGATGTATCACTTTGTTTTAACAACAATAACAATATTCAATTTTGCCACTTTCTCATTTTATCTATCAACTCAAGGCCAATTACTCTAAAGTGATATGTCGCAGGAGTCTAACAACTCTTATCTCACTTGCTAAGTAATTCCGTCATTTTTACATTTCCAAACTGGAAAGCATCCGTAGGCTAGATCGGGCGAGAGCATGCGCTTCATCGTTTCCCTATATTCTTCAATGCCTTGGCAACTTTTTCAATCTTACCTAAGCCGAAAGTGCGCAAATTAACGTGCCCTCTCGTGGCTGGTAGATGACCTGCCTGTCTCCAGTGCTTTGATCGCCCGCTGACTATCTACTAGACACGTTTACCCGCTGTCTTGTATCTTGTGCACTGCAGGGCTGCTTCAAGAGCCTTCCTTGTCTCAGTTATGTCTGTATCTGGAGCCTCTCCCCCGTACCGGATACCGATCCCCTTCGATAGAGTATTAACATCTTTCTGCGAGACAAAGCCACAATGAGAATGCTCGTTTCCTTTAGATAAGTCATCGAAGTAGGCGCAAATTGCCGGTCTGATAGATTGTTGAACCATTGTGATCAGGCCTCTTTTGGTTTTCTTCTCGAACACGGGCTCAGAACTGGCCTTAATTGGTGGAAGGTTAGTGAAAGTGGTAGTGCAGTCCTTGAATGTTACAACAATAGCTACGCACGCTGTGCTCGTAATATTTGACTTCTCGGCCGCGGAGATAGTCGAGTGATCTCATTATATTTTCGAGTACCGACGTTTGGGCATACCGCAGCCCGGATCCTACGCGGATTACAGCAATTAAAGGATTTTAGCCTGGCTGAGAGACAGTGGATTTTGTTGGAATATTTTATCTGATTGATATTGGTGGGCATCGGTAGTTCTTGCATTACCTGAACTAATTCCTTGAGTTGTGGATTCTGACACTTGGATAAAACGTTATCCGAGTGGAAGGTAAATAGCAATTTTACACCATTAGCATAACATACATAAATAGAATTGAACACGCCTGTTCTATACGATCGTAATCCCCCCTTGCTGTGATACTCTAATTGCTTTAGGTATATCAATTGACTTCAGTGTATGACTTTCGTCATACCAATAGGTTTCCCTCCGTATGATTTTCCTTGCTGGGATCGGGGAATCGTATATAAGAGGCATCCCTACAGCCTACAGTCGCCTACAATTCATCAATTAATTTGACAATAGCGAGAGGGAGAGGAAAGGGAGTATTCGAAATTTGGATTTTTAAAATTTGTGTGTTAGTGTTTATTATACTGCTTTAATCATGGACTATCTAACAAATGGGGTTTTCTCTAACTTTGGCCACGCCTTTTTCGATTCTCCTATCCTCTTTTATTGCGAAGAAATGTTTTTGATAACTACGTATGATGGACAGATACTTAGTTTAGTAATCACTCACAAAATTTAAACTCTTTTCTACTACTCCTTCTGCTCTAAAAGATTAAATAATAGTTATGGAAACTGCGTGTGCGGGAAAAGGTCTGAAACAACCTGCAGCCACAGCCAGGCGAGGTCTAGACACCGGGACCACATGAGATGCGCATATCCATCTATATCTCCCTTCCCTGTAATATTACAGGCCAACTTGATACAATCCACCATCGCCGTATCGGGTGCTAGACAAGCCCCGGAAATTCATCGGATGGCTTTTCCTCCATGACGAAGAGTGGTTGATGAGAATAGGTTCGATCCTACCATCTGATCTGATTATGGTTAGCTTCATGATAATGGTTGTAGGGGGTTGTGCCGAGAGAGCAATTTGGGATCTTCATCGAAATAAGGACGAATTTGTTTCTCAATCTCAGCTTTGCAGACTCTACAGTGAGAGCTAGAGGTTCGGAAGGGATACAGCTGCCGGGTGTTGAGTTTTCGTCCTCCATATAAATATGTTCCTTCTACCACAACCACGCAGCAGAGGGCAGTCGTGGTGGGATTAACGTCCTCTTATATCATAGATTCTAATTGTGACTTTTCGATTTTGGATAGCTTCGCTACATGGTGAGGTGATGCCGGACGATCTTCCCGGAACATTCGAGATGGTGAGGTCTGAGAATTGTCTTGTAACGAAAATTAAAGATGCATCATCCTGTTTGCGATTCATATTCGTGGTGTAGATGAATGAGTTCTTTGGGTTCCATAACCGTAAAATCTCTACAGATTATGGGATTTGGATCAAAAAACTTGCCGACACAGTTCTTGCCAATGTCAAATTCGAGTAAAGCTCTTTGTAAAACCCTTTTTTAGGACTATACATCAGCTCCGGTGGGAAATTAAACGCCCAAGTGTGAAAGGATGGCACCAGAATAAGTAGCTGTTTGCACGAGTGTACCCAAAATTGGGTTATTTTGTGTCTATTGAGGAAATAGGCATAGACTTGGGATCATCCCCAAGATGTTGTCTTGCTTATCGCTGATATAATAAACTACTAGGAGCCGGATAAGCTCCAGAGCCAGGTGATGTGGTCTGCCTCCTGGTGGTGTTCTCTGGTATAGTTTGAGTAGCCTGGGCGCCTACTCCACTTGGGAAGGAAACGCCTACACCACATTTCGCGCGGAAAAAAGTTGAAAGATGATGGAGCCATCTCTGGATAACTGAGTGTTTCTAAGACGTTGCGATGGGTGGGTATTCACGGATGAGGGTTGACTTCGGGTGAAGAAAAAGCCGCCTTAACTTGGCAGTGGTACTTGCAAGTGAAATCCGAGTCATGAGTGCTCTAGCTATGATTGAGTCATCCATTGTGCACTTTTTCTCTGAGACTGTGTCATAGCTAGATAGCTGCATATGCAATTAAAATCTGATGCAAAAAAAGATCGCTACATTCATCCGTGAACGACTCCTAAAAGAGACTAATTACAACACTATCTGGAAGTATGTGGTAGTGATTAATCATGTAAATAATCTACGACTAATACATTTACAATAAGACAACCCTGTAAGATGACTTTCGCATCTCTCTCTCACACTGTTTACAAATGCACTCAAGTATATCCTAACACCCTGGGTAGTGCTAACCATTCAATTGAAAATATCAAGTCCATACTACCATACACACCATCATCCTTCTATAATTAATTCCTTCATTTGTCTTTCAAATCAGATGGCAGATTGGTTCTGGCTAGACCTTGTCGAAAATAGACACGCCTTAAGATGTGATCGTTAACAGTAGCGACTAAGAAAGATATCCATAAAGTTATCTACGCTCTCGGTCCGCTTAAAATGTATAATGCCACCACGAGCTAGTTTCTATTTCCTTAGGGCTTCTCAGCGTCCTTTGATGCTCCGATCATCACAAAAAGCGCGACCTCTTCACGCTAGTGACTGGCCGTTATTATTTGCCAGCGGTAGATAAATAGATGCAATCATCTACGTACTAGGCTCATAGATTGGTGGCAATTCGAGAGAGAGAAACGTTGCGATAAAGGAAGTAAATACCCTCAAGTTTTTCGGGTGCGTTCTGTAGCTTACTTATTATTCTACTTTGAACTCAGCCCAATTAATTTGCACGTCTTCTGGTGCTGGCCAGAGGTGAATTAGGCCGGTTGCGCTAGATAAAGGGAGTCGATCTAGAACCACACCGTTTAAATTGGAATAGTCACGATGAGCCGCATCCTTATTCAAGGGATGTTTGAGCTTGTGAATTTTTCTAGATGCTTTTGCGAGAAGTGGGCGTGCGTTATACTTTTCCAGCTTAGACTGGGCCGCTTTAATTTGTGGGTTGTGGAAAAAGAGAAATTGGTTCATTGGCGCTCCATTCAGCATATTACTAAGTCCAGTCGTCGTCGACACCCAAACTGTAGAAAGTCGTTCTCGTTCAAAAAGCCGCAAATACCCTTCGCACCAAGCTAATGCGTAGCGCCTGTGAATCGTTTTCGCTTCGTTGAAGAAATTACCTCCGAGCACCACATCTTCCAGTTTGATTTCCCTATCAACTATCATTTTAGGGATTATATCAACTGTAGTATCGGGGTTTACCCAATTTTCATCAATTGTTTCAATTTTTTTCTTTAAAGACAGACTGGCTAACACACTAACAGTACACCCATTCTTTCCCAAGATCTCGGACATTCGTGGGGTATTTGATCCCATTATTCTTTTGCGATTAGTAGAAAGAGACTGGTGGCAGCTTTTTTCCAAGCTGGACTCGGGGTCAAACTTTTCATTGTAAGGAGGTGGTGAGTTTATCTTTTCATTGTATAAAATTCTCATCAGTTCAGAATCTGTGTATTCAAATGAGCAATACAGTTTAGTATAAGTACCGTGGTCTTTGACGTTACTTTCTGTCATATAAATTGGTATATTTGTTTGAGGTTTGGGAAATAGACGATTAGGATCTACCTTGAAGTAGTCCAAAAGTGATTTTTTAGACAGAGGGTTTATAAATGTTAAACGACTATCTTGAGGCGTAGTTTGCCCTGTAAACAAAAGGATTGCGAGTACACAATACATGGCCTCCAACTATACGGAGTTCCCAGCCCAGCCTTGGTTTTTGCTCTCCCAAGTATTCCTTCTGCTGAGCGGTGGCGGAGGAGAGACGGGTCTGCGAAAGGACTTACAGTATTGAGTCAAATATTGAGAGTAATATCTAGAAATGCTTATAAGAATTCATACCCAAGGTTGGAAAGTATTTGATAGGCTGAGGAGAGAAATTGACCAAACTTGCCGTCTCCCTAGTGATCGGCCTCTTTTATATATTTATTGTAGCAAGACCTATGTTTCTCATTCTATATGAGTCATGCAACATATTTTCAGCAGGGTTAAGAGCCGATTAAATTAGAAGGTTGCAGACAAACTCCGCATTGAACTTGAATAAAATGAAGGGAAACATTAGGATTAATCTAATATTCTAGGGGTGGTAGAGGTGCCGTTAATCATAATATGAATGAACAATTCATAGCATGTAGAGTGAGAAGCACAAAGAATTTTAGAATCGCTTGAGACTTCTTGAATGTAGCCAAAAACTTATCACCTGCCGGCCTCTCCCCTGCGAACTTGCACTTCTCACAGTAGAGTCTGCAGTCCCGAGATTGAGTAACACCATTTCAACTTCGGGCTGAAAAATCTCCCTCACCCTCAAAGATACGCTTCCAATAACATATCTGGCGATAAAGACAATGATAATGATGCTGGGAATGAGGAAAGATAATGCTGTATCAAACGCCACATCGGTAGTCAGAGAAGCCCTCGTTATATCCTGGCATATTCTACTAACCAGCGGGCAAAGTTAGAGGTCACGAAAGCAAAGTCTTAGGCGCTTTAGCCCTTAAGAAATGCAGATTTCAACTCATCAACAACATCATCTTCTCACCTTTCAAAGTCGGAGCATTCCAGCCCGAAGTAGACCCAAACCACACGAGTTTCTCGAAACCCCATTCTTATAGAGTCTTTTGGATAGTGACTGGGCTATCTAACGCTCGTAGGTCATGATCAGGACTCTTCAGACATTCCTTCACGATCTTTTTATGTCCTGCAACACTAATAAGGTATGGGGAAGGCTAGGAATTTTGAGAATTAATCTTAACAAGACACCGAGATGTAGATTGACCTATTTCTTTCTAGATGATCAAACGATCAGATTTCTTTATCAAATTACATGTGGATATAGTATTTGCATGCGGAAAAAGACAGGGAAGATGATTCATGAGACCCTTTTATCAAGGTTAGATTGTCTCCGGTTTTATGCAGTAAAAATCCTTTCTTACTAGTCAACTAAAAGTGTTTTTATTTGTTTATGAATCCCCACATTTTGTAGTTGTGCTAGTTATCCTAGAACCAGCACGCAAACCTTGGTAGACTGCGTCTTGACACCAGGCCTGGCTCTTAATGTGCACGTGTGTTAAGGTTATGAGTTAATTGGGAACATAGTTACTTGGATGTGTCACGATGTTTGTTCAGGTGGTTTGATACTTGGTAACTTGATTTCAGGCAGGTGTCCGATATTTTTCCGATGCTGTTCCTGAGACAGAACATAGACTACTTATATACTCTAATATGACCCATGTCATTGTATATGTTCTCTCTCCTGACTTACTGCCAACAGCATGCCTAGGTAAAACTCTGCAGCTCATGAGTCCATCTCTCATGGATGGCATCCGCTGTTCTGGTGGCTGGCGCGCGCGGTCCGAGTACGCGTCGCTGCAATGCCTCAATCACTTACGTGTAATATCCCAGCTGAGCGATCCTGAACCTAGCTGTTCAGGAACGACAGCAATCTAGTCCATGGTTCGCGCCTGTGGCTTTTATTTTATTTTATTTTATTCATAGTGTATTCAGCTATCTAGCTATGACACGTTATTTACATAATTAAATTCCCCAAAACTCCTTTCTGAAATACAATCTTCATAATACTTTTTAATTTCCCAATTTAGTTATCCTAGTTCAACTCCCTTTATGTGCTGCCATGCACTTGGATGTGTCCAAATATTTAAGAAGTGCTTCTTTTCCTCTTCTTGTTCGAAATAATATAGGTAGGGTTCTTGGTTCTATGTCCTTAAAACATCTGTTTCTTTGGTTTTTAAATTTTGGACAATGTAACAATAAATGCTGCACAGTCTGCCTTTGTTTTGAACAAAAATTACATATGTCATCTTCAACTTTTCCTATCATGTGCAAATATACTCGAGTATTTCCAATTCCAAGCCTAGCTTGGAAAAATCCTGACTCTGTCTCCCTACTATGATCTTGAAATTTAAATAACTTGAATGTAAAGCTGGATTGGTTAGTAGGTGCCTGGATCCTGTAGTACTTGCCCAGTCCCTTTGCTTTCCGGCCCTCTTCCTCATGCCAAAGCTCGAGGTTCCAGTCTTTATTCCATTCTTCTAGTACCAGCTCTTTTGCTTTTTGTTTCATAAATGAATGAGTTATAAACTTGTCCCTTCTCATTGCTTGTTTTTTAATTCCATTTTTGGCTAGATTGTCTGCTAGTTCATTTCCTTCTATACCAACATGTGCAGGACACCATTGAAGATGAATGGTGCATCCATGAGATGCCATCCTGATCTGATGTGAAAAGTGGTTACTGCTGTGTTGGATCCGAAGGATGCTAGCCTGGCTATCAGTGAATATATATATATATTGTCTTAGTTGAAAAATGTCTCTTCACATATTGAGTTGCTTTCAATAGGCAGTAAGTCTCAGCATCTGTGATACCCATAGTGTCACCAAGGTGATATGAGAAACATTTGATCTCTCTGCTGATTGGCAAGTACACCACAAAGCCAATGCTGCTTCCTGTGTCTGAAAGGGAGCCATCTGTATAGACTATGACATCTTCAATTGGGATATGCTTGAGTTGCTGTAAGTGCCACAACTTAGTGATCTCTTTTGTCTCAGAAGAAATGCTGGTTAGAATCTGAGTTTGGTGCCATGGAGGTGTCCAGATGGTATTCTGCTCCTCCAGCTTGTTGAATGAAGCAAGGGGCTTCAATGTACATCCAATTCTCATTAGTTGGGTGACTGGCTTGTCAATAAAGTTGAGTAAGCCAAGGTCAATCTGGTTGGTGCTTGTCAATTCATCCTGCAATGGGCAGAGCAGATGTTCTTGTATGAAGTGGTCCTTCTGAAGTCTCAAAACCCTCAGCCCATAATAGATGAGATGTTTCTGGTGTCTGACTTTAACTGGCATGATTGCAGCTTCCACCTCTAGGGCCTTTATAGGACTTCTTTTATAAGCTCCAGTGATCATTGGTAGGGCCTGATTCTGAAGCCTTTAACATTTGTTTGTTAATGATCCCGTTCCCCTCTTACCATGCCATAGTACAGAGCCATAGTCGAGAACTGAAGTGACACAAGTTAGGTATAGTTGACGAAGAGCATGGCAGTGAAGCCCTCGAGTAGATGAGGCCAAATTCCGAATCCGACTGAGGGCCCCATGGGCAAGCTGTAACCTCTTGTCCACATGGGTTTTGAAGTTTAATTTCTGATCAAACCAGATTCCTAGCCACCTGACAACTTCCTTTGGCTCTAAGATAACGTTATTTTCCAGGATCAAAGGAGACATGACATGCTTCCTCTGATGACTGAAATGAATAAGTTCTGACTTGTCCATTTCAAAAGTAACTGAATACTGGTTGGCCTCTTTCATCAACCTTTCAGACAGTTTCTTTAGGGTCCTTAGGTTTTTTTCAACAGATGTTGATGAGACTGATATTGAAATGTCATCCATGTATCGCGCCTGTGGCTTGTATACACACCACAGCGTCACTCCAATCGTTCCCATACAATGTCTCAGCTTCGCAGTCCTTAGTCCATTACTCAGGAGCGGAAGCAGTTGTATGGTTCCGATAGTGCGCTAGGTCTGCATGTACCTCTGAGCACTATCCCGTAATTGCCCGGCGATACCTAACCGCTTATGGCTAGCGTGTGTGATCAATAGACTCATCACGACGCTGCCCCAATCATTGCCTTGCAATGACTCAACCCGGCGCTCCCAAGTCCGAGACTCAGGAGCGGCAGCGGTTGTATCCATGGTCAACGCACGACGTGCATATGCACCTGTCGGCGCAGAGCCGGTCATTGACGAGCGATATCACAACAACATGTGACGTGGAGTTGGAGCAGTGAATGCAAGTAGCCAGTATTAGTAAGCAACGCATAATGTAGAACTTGCGAACTGCGCTTGTGAGAGGCAATGTACAATGATGTTACTTTTTTATTGTACTTGAATCTATGACTATCTATCACATTGATCATCTTTCTGTCCCTTTCCTTACCTTACACAGTGTTCCGGTCCCCTTTTGTTGCATAGAGGACCTGATATATTTCTTGTGGTTAATATACATCCAGCTCAATGTTTGTTGGTTGAATTCAGCCACCTTTTCCACGTAACCTAGTCCTTTACAGTCATAGACTCAGTACGAACTTATATTAAATTCTATTTTATTCTATGGAAACTTCTATCCCCTCCACCCCCCAAAAAAAAGAACAAAAAAAGAGGCCTGGACACCGAGACCACATGAGGTGCGCATATCCATCTAAATCTTCCTTCACTATAAAATTAGAGGCCAGCTTGATCCAATCCACCATCATTGTATCAGGTGATGGATACGCCCCGGGAACTCGTCGGATGGCCTTTCCTCCATGACGAAGAGTGGTTGATGGGCGGGGTTTCGAATCTGACGTCTGTTATGATCGTGGTTAGCTTCATGATAGTGGTGATAGGGGTATTGTTGAGTGATGAAGATGATACTCACAGCGAAAGCGATTGAGAATCTTCATCTACGTGAGGCCTTTTTTTATTACAAATAGGTCTTCAGCTAGCGCTCTTTGTCCACTACGGGTGAAGGACC